TGAGCCTGAGTCACTATCAAAATAAAAAAATATTTATGATTAAATATTCAAATATTATTAATGGATTAATAGATCTTAACAAAAATAACTAATTTATATTAATAAACGATTAGCTCAGATGTCAGACGATCCTTTTTTTTTGGCAATCAATTATTAATTTTCAAAATTGCAGGCAAATTTGCCTGCAAAACCATTAAGGAGATAAATTTTATTTATTTATATCTTACATCAATCTTAAATTTAGAAAAAATATAAGATTTTAACTTGTAATATTAGAATTTAATGAATTTTAATCTGATTTTTTTATGTTATAATAGTTTATTATTAAATTTTTCAAAATTAAATAAAAGGAAGAAATAGTAAAATATTTAAAGAGAATGCTTGAATTAATAAAAGAAAGTTAGGTAATATGCTATATAAAATAAATAGTATATAAAAGTAGAATCACTTAATTTATTGCTATATAAATAATTTTTTTATGTCAATTTGTAAGTAAAATTCAAAATTTAAATGATATACTTCAAAATTTTTGGAATATTAATAAAATCTGTAAAGAATTTTTAATATCATATATTTTGATAACAAAATAATATTAAATAAAGTAAATATAATAATTATTTAATAAATAAACCTATTATTTAATAGGTAAATTAGGATTAGTATTAGGATTTTAACTAGAATTATATTAGGATAAGATATTTAGATAAATTAGAATTAATATTAGAATTTAGATTAAAATAAGAAATTTAGATAGAAAAAATTTATTTGATGCATTATGCATTATGTACATCTAGACTTACATAATAAATATAATAAACTGTTATATTACATTACATTTACTATATTTCATTTTTTACTATTTAATCTGAAAACTTAGTTTTTTTTAAGATGTGAAATCCTATTTGTCACTCATTATTTATCACAGATGCTATTACAAACTTGTGTTATGATATTAGGATTAGATAAGTTAAGGTTAGTTTATTAAAATTAGTCACATTGTAAAATCAACAATTTCATAATTTAAGATGCAGTAATATGTATGATAAGGATCAATAAAATATAATAAAATTACAAGGAAAAGATCACATAATAAATAGGAAAAATATTATTTTATTAAAAAAATAAAAATACTCAGATAAATTACGATATGAAAGAAAAGGTTACATAAGAAAGATAAATTTCAGATAAATTAGTTATTGAAGAAAAAAGGATAATTAAAGGACTGAACAGAAAGTCAAGAAATCAGATAATTAATAAACTAAATGGAGGATCTTATGGAAAGGCTTAGAAATATTTGAAAATAATATTTGAAAAAGTAACACAAATATGCAAGAAGGTTACATAAAAAGCACAATAGTTGTGAATGATAATTAGACTTCATAAGAGCTTATATAACATTAAGATAATACATGACCTCAATGTGAAAAACGTTACAAGAAAAACCACCAGAAGAAAAAAAAGAAAATTACTAGCAAAAACTAATAGAAGAAAAAGGAAATTACCAATAAAAACCAATAGAAGTAAAAAAAAAAAATATTAAAAATAATAAGGGTAATACATAATATTATAATAGAAAATATTTTATAAAAAACCATAGGAATAAAAATAGAAATTATAAAAAAACAAATTAGTAAAAATTATATAAGTAAAATTAGTAAAGTTATAAGGAATAAAATAGAAAATAATAGAAAATAGTAAAGTAGAATACAGTAGAAATAATAAGTATAGAACTATAAACATTTTATAGAAAATAATTAGAAATTTCTATTACAAATATTTTTTAAATCATTCTATTTGTTATGTAAAATCTTATATAAACCCTTTGAATAGGATCAAGGAATAACGTTCAATTAAATTTTAAAAATAAAAAAAAATTATTTTAATAAACAGAATAAATTTATTTAAAATAATTAGGTATTGAATAACTAAATTATAGAAATATAAAGTTATTTTGCTTATATATAAACTAAAATTTTAAAAAGATGTTAATGAAATAATAAATAAATAAAAATAAGGAATTATAAATAAAAATAATAGTAATGTAAGAAATAATTATAGAGAAATAATAGCAATATAAGAAAAATTATCAGAAGAAATATAAGAACTTATAAAAAAGATATTACTTATAAAAAGACATAATATAAAAAAGAATTTAAAAAGAAATAATAAATAATAAAAGAAAGTTTAAGAAGAATATAACTTAAGATAATCAGTAATTATAGAATAGTTAATGCTTAATACTCGAATAGTATTTTGGATACTCATAGTGAAAGTAATGTATATATCATGCTAATGGTTTATTGGGTTTATTGATGCTGATATTACTGAAACTATATGATGTTTAAAAAGCTTAATCTTATTAAAATTAAAAGAAAATAACAAGAAGAAAAATAATATCAGAAAAAGATAATATAATAATAGAAGGATATTAAAATAATAATAACATTATAAAAAAATTATAAAACAAATAATCGCTTAAAAGTATAAAAAAAGATTTTTAGCAATTAAATATTAATTTGTAAAACAAATCCTTTTGATGATAAGTAGCAGAAATAATCAAAAAGATACAAGCTATATTAAAGTTTTTGAATTCAAAAAAAATGTTATAAATTTGAATAACAAGGGTTATAGTAATTATAATATTATACATAGTATGCATATAGCATATGGCATATTGAATAAATATTTTCTTTAGATAAATTGGAATTAGTATTAAAATTTAAGGTAGTTTAGGTTAAATAAGATATTAGAATTAAAAATAGTTAAGTTAGATTAAAGATGCTTGTCAAAACTCCCTTAAAATAATTTCGTCATATTCCTTATTATGTTTTTAATATAATTTCAGTTAATTTCAGATTTTGGGATTTTGTCGTACCCCTCACTATGTTTTAATATAATTTCAGCTGTTTATTAATAGTTTTTTTTGGGTTTCATTCCTCATCTTTAAGTTAGATAAATTAGAATTAGAGAATTCAAGTTGGATTAAATTATAGTTAGAAATATTATAGTTAGGATTAAATAAATCAGGATTAAAGAATTAGGTTAGTTTAGATTAGATTAATATTAAAATTAAAAATAATTATATTAAAACTGTCAATAAGATTATTAAACTATAAGTAAAAAAATTATTACCTTTATGTTAATATAGAAATATAAGTTACCTATTAAGTAATTAATATAAACTATTAAGATCTATTAGTATTATGATAGATTTCATGAAGATGATTATAAAGCAATGCAAATTTTACTTTAATCTATAATTTGAAAAGTATAATATAAAAATTTGTGAAATCAAATCAAAACTTTCATAAACAAAATCATATTTTATTACAAATAAAGTTTTTTTATACTTAATTTTATGAATCACATTTCATTTAAATATTTATTAATAATAATCTAATCATCAAAATTTTTATTAGAATTTAGTTCATATTTAAAAGAATTTTATTTTTTTATTTGATATAAACTTTTAATAAAAAACATTTTATCATGTCGATCTCATTTTCTGACCAATAATCGTTTGTATTTGTCGATTTGTTTCACTTGTTTCCGGTCATGTGGGGGAAAAATTACTTATAAACTTTGGTACCACATTAAAATGTCAGCTGATTTCAATTCATATGATGTAAACTTTTTTGATATGCAACTTTTTTAAAAATAAATTTTTATTCTCAAAATGTCTTGGAAAAATTTATTATCAAAAAATCTTAAAGAACTTCGTGTTCATTTTTGCCAAACTAGTCCTGCTAGTAATGGGGTTAGGTAAATAGATTATTAAAAAGATTTTAATGATTAATTTTTTTTTTTATTTTTTTTTTTTTTAAAAAAAAATAATTTATACAGGGAATTCATCGCCAAAAATTATCTCCCGATAAAAGAAGCTAATCCGAATTTTCCAATTTTAGTTCGTGAAGCAAGTGGTGTAGAAGCAAGGTTTTTTGCTCGTTATGGTATTAAAGATATATAAAGAATAATTTCTTTTTTAACGATTTATTTTAATAGTTTCTATTAATTATTCTCTTTTTTCTTTAGATTTGGGTAAGGAGAAAAAGGTTGTATTGAATAATTTATCGGCTAAAGATGTAGAATCTAAATTAGAGGAATTAGTAAGAGCAGTATAAATTACGATAATAAATAATTTGAAAAAATTAGAATTGAATCATTTCATTATTTTTTCAATACGATATGATCATTTCAATAGGAAGATAAGCAATATTATATAGTGAAATACATTCATTTTGTTATGTTATACTAATTATCCTATTACAACATTATTTTCATCAACTTCTATATAATTTTTTCCATTACTATGTAAATCAACCAAGTAAGCAGGCAATGGAGGTTCGGCGATTCCTGCTGTAATCATTTTCTTTAATCCTTCAATTACATTGGTCCCCTCAAACAAAACTGTTGCGGATAATGGTATCGAATTGTTCAATTGATCATTGTTTAAAGGAAATGATAACTAAAAAATATACAAAAGTTATCATTTTAAATAAATTCTTGTTCAAGGTTTTTTTATTAATAATTTTTTTCACCTTAATTTCAACAACATCAAGTGATGGTTGTTCGTTCGGTCCGAAATTATCATCAACTGTAGCATCTCTCTTTGTCAAAAGTGTTGTGTCATCATCATCCAACATAGCTTCAGATTTATCGTTGTTTTTCTGCGTATCTAAAGAAATTTGAAGGTAAAGCAAAGCAAGCAAGAAATCCATTCCAATAAATAGTTTTATATTTAATAAGTATTTATACCATCTTTCTTCAACTTTTTTGAAGGAAGTAATAATGGATTATCATCGACTTGATTTAATCGATAACGGCTGTAAGTTCCCTGAGATTGTCGATGTAATAATAGCTTTTCAAGAGAATCCACATATTTGCCTTTCAAATCCCACTCTTCAATTTCATTGCATACAAAGGTTTTCAAAAGCCCCTAAAAATTCACACTTTTTATAAATGTTCTGAAATCGCAACAAAGTTAAACGGAAATTACGGAGCCATTTACCTGCATTATAAATTCCTTGTGCTCACGTTTAATATTACTACATAATAAATGTTCAGAGTTGGTAAAATAAATAACGTAAATGATATTTGTACTAATAGGAAGAACATTCGGTGGAATTCCATCGTGAATACTAATACGTATCCACCAATTTTTTTCAAATGCTTCACAATATAAATGCTAAATTTAATTAAGTTAAATTATTTATTATATTGTTGGATTTATAAAAAAAAAATTGTCTTTCATACACTTACAGCTTTGAAAAATGGTGAGAGTTGTATCGAAAGTGTTGAATGAAGCTCTGAAGTCTTTCGAAATTCTTTTTTCTTGAGTCCTAAAAAAAAAAAATATTATTAGTTAAATGGATTTTATTAACAATTATAAGAAATATAGAAGATACATGCCATCTTCCCAGCATAATTTCAAAGCTTTCCAATGTTTGAGGCTAGAGTGATCATGATAATCTATCGGATAATTTATAAAATTTAATCAAATCTAAAGGAAATTATATAACCTTTGGCAATTATATAAATCCCGCGTACATTTCATATCTAGTTGAGCCACTTGTTTATAGTTTAATCCATCTTTCTATAACAAGTATTTAATACCATTAAATGAAGTAAAGGTAATTTAATATTTTAAAAGGAGGCATACCCAATCTTCAAGAAATACTTTATCAACTATTTTCTTTTTACTTCCAGAACTCGAAAGTTTTTCATAATGAAATAAAAGTCGTTCTACTAGTTGTTGAATATTGGTATCGTTGGTATCGTTAAGTTTATCCTCGTCTTCATAAAGTGCAATTAATTTTGAACGTGTTATAGGATCCTGTAACCATTTATGAATAACATTGAGTAGAGAATCTTTCGTATGACGGTTTATGACGCGACGAAGAGAGGCGTTCGGTGCAATAATGGTCTTGTCATTGCGAATAAAAGAGTGAAGGGGCATTTTTTTTTCCTTTATTTGTATAAAATGTTTAAAAATTTTATATTTATGGAAATACGCGTAATGATTTGTGCTACAAGCGTGAGACTTAGAATCTACAATGTCACGGTCACGTGGAGGTAGGGATGGGCGTTAATTTAACCTAATTAACCGTTAATTAACCAAATTTTAATTAACCGTGAATTTCCCATCCCTACGTGGAGACGAATTTTACTTATAAATAATGTTTCATCAAACCTACCGAGTATCAGACGCGTTATTTGGTCATTTTATAGTATGGATCGCTTAGAAATTGCTTTTAAAAATGTCCATGCTTTTAGAGGTATTTCTTAACGCAAATTTGTTTATTTTTTTTTTTTTAAAAAAAAACTAATGTTGGAAAAAAACAATCGTGTTCTTAGCATTGGCTGCATGGATGTACACTTTCACAAAAGAGAGCGTGTTTATGATCATTAATAGAGAAGAAATAAAGTTAATTTACGAAGACGCTAGCCGAGGAACAGTTATGGGGTAATTCACATGATTAATTTTTGGGCGAGGGCAAAACGCGTAAAATAAACCATTTTTGTTAAATTTAATTATGCAGATTTTTGAAGTTTTATAAAAATGAAGGACGACAAACTTATGAATCTGTTGAATCTATTAAAGTAAATTGCACCTATTCTAACAATGAATTCACATTTGAATTTAACCCTGAATGCTTAAAGCAAGCGTTAGATTGTATGGCAGAAGATAAAAGGATCGTCAAGATGGAACTTAAAGACCATGAAGATGGTCACATTCTTTTGTTTACAGTAACGAATTTTATCTTTTGTATTTGATCTAATTTAATGGAATTATATTAATCCTGATAAATAATTTCAGGGGTATACCACCGGATGCTTTGAACGATCCATATCAAAATTTTACGTGAATTTGCAAAATTCACCACCACAACTTCCATCAATGAATGTAGTGTATTTATATTCATTCTTATTCAATTATAATTATGTTTTTATATATTTATGTATATTTTTTTTTCGATTTAGCGGCTGACGATGAAATTTGAACAAAACGATTTAAATAAACTTCAAATTATTGCCAAAAAATGCTTAAATGTTAAAGATAACTTGGTCATATCGGTTCGACTTGCCACCGATTATAATACTTTCCAAATCAAATACTCTCTTCCTACAGGTAGTCAAGTATGTCACCAATTTAAACACCCAAGTGAAAATCAAGGTAGGAACTTAATGAGGTTACAAAATGATTTTTAAAAGTGATTTTATTTATTTATCTTTTTTTTTTATATAGACAACGAAATTAGCAAAGTTGCAATAGTCAGACCACAATTATTGGCTAAATTTTTTAAACTTGGGTCGTTAAATCAAGTTTCGTGCTGTAAGTTTATGACTTGTTGAAAACCATAAATTTTTTCTTTAATTAATATTAAATCATATATTCCTTTTAGGTGTTAAAAATGATGGTTCCCTTCTTTTCGAAGCCGAAAATATTCTAGATGATAATTTAGTAATAAAAGTTCATTTGAAGGGTTTATCAGATCAATAATCCTCAATTATTTTACAACGCCATTTCGATATATTTAATAATAGTAATAAATATAATCAATTGCTAAATAATATATAAATAATCTTTTTTAATCAATTGCTAAATATAAAATAAACTTGCAGTCTTTTTTAATCAATGTTATATAATGACTATCTGATTTTCCGAATAAATTAGACCATTATAAATATTGCATGCGTTTCGAATTCTTTTCTCTTTATAAATATTAAAAAAAAATGTCATTTGGTAGAACTCCAAATATATATACATTTAATCCGAAACCACCGGAAAAAGGAAGTTTTCCTTTAGATCATGAAGGTATTTACATGATGTTAATAAATTTAAGGTTTTATTTACTTTTTTTTTAACATGTTACGTGATATAGGTGAATGTAAACGGCTTGTTAAAGAATATCTTGAATGTTTAAAAAAGAATCAAGGAAATAATGGAAACTGTAGGCATGTTTCAAAAGCTTATTTAAAATGTAGAATGGATAAGTAAGGTCAAATTTAAATTTAAATTTATCAGATTTAATAAATTAATTTTTATTAAAATATTTCCTCCGCTTAAAAATATTCTCAGAGGATTAATGACAACTGAAGAGATGAAAAATCTGGGATTTCAAGATGTTAATGAGATAAATGATAAATAAAAATAAAATTTATTTTTTTTTAAATTTATTTTTTAAAAAAATCAATAATACATTTAAATGGATCTAATTTTGTCAATGATGTTTGTCCAACTTAATAATAAAAAGGCTAAAAATATACAGAGATTACCAATAATAGTATTTACACCTATGGGAGTATTAGTAATAAGCAAATCAACTAAAGCAACGATTGGGATGGTTAACATAATTCCAACAGCCGCAAATAACGGAGAAGTCAATGCTATTAACAACATAAAGCTAGCATTAAAAAATACTCCGGCTATAGCAATTGAAATGATAAAGCCAAACGTTTCTGGATCAGGCAATTCAAATGTTTCAATACCCGAATAATGCAAGATCGGTATAGGTATCCAAAGAAACAAGAGAGTACATAATCCTATTAATCCCGTTATTGTATTTGCAAATAAAAACGAAGTTGTTGGAGGACTTCCCAACTTCTTATAAAGGACTTCATATAATCCATAAAAAAGTGCTCCAAAACACGCAATAAAATCTCCAACTTCAATAATGTTTGCGTTTTCTTGGTCTTTTTCATTATTCGGAATAGACAATGCCATGACCGCCACCCCCGTGATACTTAAACATACGGCAAAAACTTTTTCTATTCGAATTGATTCATTCAATAAAATGATCGAAAATACATAAGCCCAAAAACATGATGTGTTAAATATCGCGGTTAATTTGGCCATGGTGGTTAAATTTACTGCAATGTACCAAATATATCCTGGTGTACAAATACCAATCGCAAATAATAATGATATCTTGAAAATATAAATCATTACGGGTCTATAATGTTTGGATGTTAGGATTTGAGGTATCGACGTAACCACTTTCGGGTGATCATTTTCAACTGCTTCCTCCTCGCTTTGATTTGTTGTTTGGATCGCTTGATATGTCGGTTTAACGGTACTAATTAATTCAATTCCTATATTAAGGAATTCTTCCGTATATTGAAGAGGATTCAATCTAAACATAAACTGAAGTGGTAACATGATAATATAACAACTATGCGCCACCCATCTATTTTTATTGAAGTTTTGTTTAGTAATCATATCAAATGTTGAACAAAATATGATAAAAATGCGCCCATAACTTACAGAATGAAATATGGTTTGTGAAATTGCATTCCTTTTTGTACGAATTGTGCCAGTTCCTATTTTATAACAAAATGAAATACGTTATTTTTTTTTTTGTTAAAGGTTTTATTCCAAAATATTTGGTTTAAATAACTTTATCATTTACCGTTTGTATAACAAACGATGCAATACATATACATAGTATGCTTAAACCTAGGGTATGGTGTGATTTGCGAACAGGAACAAACCTGTCTTCTTCAATAAGATGAACGTTTTCATCATATATGACTCGTGAAGACGGTAATTCTGATGGATTATCCGAATTATCCGTCATTTTTTTTTTTATTTTTTTTAAACTATCAAGCTTAAATTAATAAACTCGGAAAAATATACCTAAATTCGAAAGTAATGTTACACTAATTTCCTTTCTTATCTTTCATAGTAACTCTTTGTAACACCAACAACTCACTTTTTTTTTGTTCATCTTTTTTTTTTTTTTTTAACGAAATATATATTATATACCTGTGTATGAATGTAATTAATATTAATGAATTAAATTTTTTATTTTTAAACAATGGCGTCGGTTTTTCTTCAATCAATATTTCATCCAAGTGAAATTGTAGCACTTGTTCAGTATAAATTTTTAAGACCTTCACCTAGTAACTTAATTCCTCCCGAAAAGAAAGCTTGTTATGAATTTTTAAACCAAACTTCTAGGTCTTTTGCTGCCGTTATTCAAGAATTGGACGATGAAATTAGAGATGCCGTAAGTAGTCAAAGTTCTTAATCATTTCTTGCTTTTTCTAATAGTCGAAAATAACCTTTATAAATAGGTTTGTATCTTCTATCTGGTATTACGTGGACTTGATACCATTGAAGATGATATGACAATCTCCATTACGAAGAAAGAACCTTTATTAAGAAATTTTCATGAGATAATTTATAAGAAAGGATGGACTTTTAACGAAAGTAAGAAGAAAATTTTTTGGACAAAGATCCAAGAAAATGACTGAATAATTAAATTAATTCATTCGATATAGGCGGTCCAGATGAAAAAGATCGTCAATTGCTCGTAGAATTCTCTATTGTAATTGATGAATTCTTGAATTTAGAAAAAAATTTTCAAGACGTTATCGCAGACATTACAAAAAAGATGGGAAATGGTATGGCAGATTATGCAAAAAATGCGGCACATAATGAATATGGAATTTTGACAAATGAAGATTATGATTTATATTGTTATTATGTTGCTGGCTTGGTTGGAACTGGTTTAAGTTGTTTATTTAGTGCTAGTGGATTGGAGAAACCCGAGTTAGGCAATTTTATCGAACTGTGAGTCAAGATTATTTCTTTTCTTTTCTTTTTTTGATTACCTTTTAATGCCCCGCTTTTGGAATTTTAGCTCGAATTCGATGGGAAAATTTTTACAAAAAACGAATATCATAAGGGATTATTCAGAAGATTTATCTGAAAAACGTATATTTTGGCCAAAAGAAATTTGGTCAGAATATGTTAATGATTTTGCAGACCTTAAAAAAACAGGATATGAAATTAAAGCAATTAATTGTTTATCAACAATTGTATTAAACGCTTTACAACATATCCCTGATTGTTTAAGTTATATGAATAAATTACAAAATGATAGTATCTTAAGATTTTGTGCCATTCCACAGGTAATGGCTATCGCTACTTTAACTTTATTATTTAAAAATTATAATGTCTACAATTCAGTAGTTAAAATTCGTAAAGGCGAAGCCATTAAGGTAAGATTTTCACAAGGATTCCTTTTTATGTTATATATTTTTGGAAAAAAACCTTTTTTTTTTTAAAAAAAAATTTATTTATTATCTTAGTTAATCTTGAAATGCACAAATATTTATGAGGTTGCAAATGTCTTTCGCTATTATACAAGAATTATTATTAAAAAGAATGACTCTAAAGATCCAAACTTCATGAAAATAAGTATGGCATGCGGCAAGGTATATATATATATATATATATTTATTATATTTGCTATTTTTTTTTTATTATTATTCATGGAATTTTTTATTAATCAACCTTTTTTTAAAAATAAAGGTTGAACAATGGTGTCAAACAAATCTACCAAACATAGACTCATATAATTTATCAACTCCAAAAGATTTAGACAATAATAATAATATATTGATTTTTGTTATATTTATTATATTAGCTTATACCGCTTATTTATTATATTAGACTTCCAGGATACAGATCAAATAACTTAATAACTTGATTTATGCTAATTGAGATCATTATAACTATAATTCATTATTTATTTATTTATCAATTAAGGTTTTCTTTTTTATTACATTTGTCGGTAATAATTTGATCATTTATTGATCAGTAGTTCTAAAGTTATTATTAATAAATTTGTTTCGTTGATTATATATTTTTGAATTAAAATTATTAGCAAAAATTAATATAAAATAATTAGCCTAATTATTAACAAAATGTTTTAGAAATTATATGGGTTAAAAGATATTAAATATTTTAAATCCTAGTAATTAATTTATGTAATAAATAAAGAAATTTTGGTTTTTATTATAATATAGGAGGTTTGCTAGACAAATAGGATTCTGAGAATTTTTTAATAAAATTATAATTTTTATTGCATTTTAATTTTTGATAATATTAGATAAAAATTAAAATTTATAAAAAATTCTTAGAGCTTCATTTCCTAGCAAACCTCCTATATAATATACAAAATATGTTATTTGTTAATTTGTTAGTTAATGATTTTCATAAAATAATTAGTTTAAAGAATAATCAGCTTAATACTTATTTAGTTTTTTTTTTTATTTTTACTGCTAATTATATTATTAATAAATTATTATCTAAAATTAATTTGTTAATAAACATTTTTTATTAATTTAGAATAAAGTGTAAACTAAATATTATAGCAAATATATCTTCTTGATATATCAAAAGTTACTTTCTTGAATTATATATCAATCCTATTTATGTATTTTATGATCCTATTATAAATTATAAAAAATATATATAATTGACAAATTATATATTATTAAATTAAAATAGTATCAGAAAAAGATCAAATATGATATTTTGCTATATTATAAGACATTTAATGATTGATATTCTATTATCCATTTACTCAAAATTTTGAGTTGATAAATGATTAATCTCTTTCATTACACTTGTATTTTAAATTTAACAACAATTTCAAAATTATTTTCTAGTATATATTATATATTATATTTATTAATATAATTGGTATTATTAAATGTACTTCAAATTTTTATTAATTATTTATTAAAATTTGATGATAATAATATACTTTAATATTTGTGATTAAAGAGTTATAAGTTTTAAAGATTTGTAATTCTAACAGATTATTTATTATATATATATATATAAATAGTAAATATGAATTTTATTTTAGTTTTAAAATGTAAAGTTTATTAGGATCTGAAAACTTATATATGATATCTCAGAAATAATTCAAAAAATTTACTATATATTTTATTCAAGAATTTTTCTATAGATTTTACTTTGATATAGTATTAATATAATTCAAATTATTATAAAATTTTTCTTATATAAATATTTATCTATTTATTTATATTTAACAAATAAATAGTACATTATCTATTATTTATTTAAATAATTGTGATTTTGATTATAAATATAAAAAAAAACTATATTTGAGTACTAGAATTAATTAAAAAATATAAATTTGTAATAATTTACTATTTAATATAAGCATAGAATTATTATGAAATGTAATAGAATCTTTTCAAGATAATAAAATACTTTTTAAAAATTATATATGTAAATAATTTTCCATCAGTTAGATAATAATTATAAATAACGATTTACTCTATATATTAATAAAATATGTTAAAAAATATGATAATAAATCAATATTATTTATACAGTTAGATTTCAATATACCAATATTTTATATACTGATATACTATTAAAAACTTGATATATAGATAAATTTTATTTGTCTATTATATTTGAGATTATATAAGTATCAGTATAATTTGATATAATAATATTTTTTAAAAAATTTTATATATGTCCTGATATATCATTATATATAAGTTTAATTATAATAACTAATACTTTTCTTATACATAATTATTGATTTAAAAAATCCATCTTCTTAAGAATTATTTTGTAAATATTATCATAACTAATATCTAAATAAATTTAAAATCATATAATTAATTTATTTTAAAATATAGTTTACCTTTTATATTAGATTGATTTACTAAATTAAAACTTATTTTTATTATAAATTACTTGATTATTAGAATTATTACAAACCAATCTTTTTAAAACAAAGTTTGAAATAATGAATTTTACAATATAGGTTGTGATCTAAGAAAATTAAGTTCTGAGAAATTTTTGAGTAAAATTAATATCTTATTACATTTTAATCTAAATGTAAAATTAAAATGCAATTAAAATCTCAATTTTGATAAAAAATTCTCAGAACTTGATTTTCTTAGATCATAACTAGTGATACCTGATGAAATTACCTTTCTTAATATGACGAAATTAACAAAACTGAAATGACAAAACTAGTTTTTTATTAATGATAAAATTATATTTAACCTGATCTAAATTCCTTAAATTAAAATATATTAAAAAATATAATAATTTTATATTTATTTATAACAAGTTATTTTATATAATGAAGATTACAAAAATAAATTTTAATAAAATTTTGTAATTTTTTATATTTTAATAAAATTAACAAAAGTGTTTTATATAATATTTTACAATTTTTTTAAATGTTTTTGTTTGCATAATCACAAATTTTTTATATTTTTTTTTTAATATAAGAATGCTAAAAATAAACTCAAAAAAAAAAAAAACTTACTAATAAACCTTTTAAAAAAAAATCTCTTATTGCTATACAAAAAAAGAAATTTGCTTAAAAAAGCTTCATTACTATTATTAAAACAAAAAAACTTAGCGGTTGTATTATAATTGCTCAAATGCTAATTTTCTGAATATACTTTTTCCTATAGTCAAATTTCCTGAATGCTAATTTCTCGAATTTGACTTTTTACTGAAATATCTAATTACTTGAATGCTAATTTTTTAAAATCTAATTTTCTGAATTATCATTTGCGATCCTGATAACTGGTTATTAAAACTGTAAATAAATTAGATTGGTTTATAAAACTGGTTTATATGACCAATTTAACAATCAGTTTGGAATCAGTTTATATATATAATCATATTTGAAACTTTTTTATTTACAAAATTTACATATCAATTAATATTAGCATTATAAAATATAAAAAATAAAAAAAATAAATGGGATTCTCACTTGATTTTTAAAATAAGAATTTTTTTTAAGAAACAAAAAAAAAAGGAAAATAGTAAATTTTTATTTAAAAAGTCATTTCTAAATAATTTATCTTATTTTTGAAATAAGAATTTTCTTAAAAAAAAAGAAAAGAAAATGATAAAAAATCTTTTAAGATAAGAATATTTCTAGAAAAAATATAGAAAAAAAAAGGAAAAAGATTAAAAAAAGAAAAAATTTTTTGGATAAATCTAAAAGTTTATCAGTTTTAGAAAATATCAATTAATCTGATATTCATTAGCCAATTAGATAGTTTTGTATTGTCCAATTAAAATGATTCCTTTTATTATTTCTATTGAATGATTTGTATTATTCTTTAGTGAATGATAATTTGATTATTTTATTCAGACGATTTTAGTAGGGCTAAAATGAGGTTTCTGGGACAGATTTCAAAAGATATCCAAAAAAGGATTTCTGATCGCCCACGAACCCATTCTAGCTATACAAATCCATTATCGAATACAAAGCTCTAGCGTAATTTGACTCAATTCTAGATGATGTTATCGAATTTGACTAGGAATTAGCCCGTCTAATATCAAGAACTACACTGTTTGATATAGCAATTCTAGCCTGATTTTAATCCCAAATAATATATCAAAAAATTTTTACTATTCTATTTGCCTTAGGAGGGGCCATCGAAAATCAAGGAACAAAGTGACGTGATTTGAGCTGGGCCTGACATTGCAAACCCAAATTTAATATTAACTTTTATGCTATTCTACTTGCCTCTGGAGGGCCCAACGAAAATCAAGGAACAAAGTGACACGATTTGAGCTGGGCATGACCATGCAAGCATAAAATGCATACCATATTTTATGATATCCTAAAATTAATTATAAAGTTGATTCATTATCAGCTAGCAATACAAAAAATTTACACCTATGCCTTACATAGGTGTAAATTTTTGAATGTATACAAGAAAGTCTAAAAGCTCTAGATCAAGTTCTAATATACCAACAATTTTCAATATACAGGAAACCTTTCAAATTCATTTTCTTTACAAAAATTTCTGCAAAATCTGGACAGCTTAGGTGAAAAAAAAAGTTGGGTTAGGTGTAAATTTTCAAATGTATATAAGAAAGTCTAAAAGCTCTAGATCAAGTTCTAACATGCCAACATTTTTCAATATACAGGAATCCTTTCAAGCTTATTTTCATTACAAAAGTTTCCGCAAAATCAGGACACTTTAGATGTAAATTTTAAACCCTAATTTGCATTCCAATAAGTACACATGGCTCTATCCTGAAGTCTATTAATATACTGGGTCACATAATAACCACTAGCATGTTTTCTACAAAGGACAGGCTTAGAGCTAATCGGCATACCACAAATCTTGCAAGGAAGATGCTTCCTAGCTTTCCAATGTTCATGACACCCTAAGGATCGATGACAGATACGTCTACAGATGCCACCAGTTCGAAATAAATAGTTGCAAGAATATTCACTAATCATAGTAATAATAAATATTTTATTTTAAATAAAAGTTTCTGCTATATTAATACAAATAACAGAAAATATATACT